CTTTGCTAGTTCTTCTGTTCCTTTCCTCCATTTACAGTAATAATGAACAAGGAATGTTAGCCTGTATCAACAATTACTAGTGAGGCCATTCACTTATTAGATGATTTTCAAGTACTCAATGAAGATGCACATTTTAGTGTAAAGAGTACAGATCAAAGAACATGGGTCTGTTTACACAATTCTTTGATCTTTACTCTTTAAAATCAGAGAATAATGGAGGAGGAAAAGACCACATGGGCCATCTAGTCCAACCACCTGCCATGCAGGAAAAGCAGATGGCACCCCCAAAAGCACCTCCAAATGATGGCCACCCAGCTTCTGTTTAAAGGTCTACAAGAAAAAAGCTCCCATCACACTCTAAGGCAGAGAGTTCCACTGTTGAACAGTACTCATGGTCAGGAAGTTCTTCCTAATTTTCAGGAGGAATCTCATTTCCTGTCATTTGAATCCTGGGTCCAAGTCTCCAGGGCAGCAGAAAACAAGCTTGCTAAACATACCCAGTTCATGGGTATGGCCTCCAGACATTTGATCATTTTAGTTGCCCTCCTCTGGAGACCTTCCAGCTTGTCAATATCTCTTTTGAACTTTGGTGCCCAGAATTGGACACAGTATTCCAGGTTAGGTCTAACCAAAGCAGAATGCAAAGCACCATGACTGCCCTCGATCCAGACACTATACTCCTTTTGATGCAGCCCAAAATCTCTCCACCCCCAGGCTATTACCACCCTTCCTGCTAGGATCATTGCTTTGAATAAGTCTTGATTTTTTATACTAATCTTATTGTTCCCTGTTATTGCAATTAATATAAATTCCATGTTTATCTGAATTAGCATTTTGAATAATTTATCCATTTTCTCTATTATCTTTTCCCCCATAAAGTTGTTGCATTTTGGCATTCCCACTACATGTGAGCGTACAAGCCTTTATCTGATGGGCTGATGTCCTGTACCATTTTCAAATAAAATTTCTTTCTAAGTCTTTATATTTTTCTAATTTAATTTTCTTAACTCCCATCTTTATTTCCTCTACGGTTTGTTTTGTGAAGGGCCCTTCCTTCTCCCATCCTGTGTCTGTACATTTCATTTTTTCTGCCTTAGTGAAGTATCCTGCACTTGTTCTTGTTGAAATTTATTTTGTTAATTTTAGCCCAGCTCTCTAATCTGTTGAGGTCCTTTTCAATCCTGATCCTTTCTGGAATATAAACTATCCCTCCCAATTTGATGTCAGCTGCAAACTTGATATGCATGCCCTCAGAACCTTCATCTAAATCATTAATTAAGATGTTGAACGGTACTGGGCCCAGGACCAAACCCTGTGGCACTCCACTAGTCACTTTTTTCCAGGATGAAGAGGAACCATTGGTGAACACCCTTTGGGTTCAGTCACTTAACAAATTACAAATCCACCTAACAGTAGTATGGTCTAGACCACATTTTACTATTTCGTGTGTAAGAAGATTATGTGGGCTTTGCCTTACCTTAAAAAATCAAGATATGATACATCCAAAGCATTCCCTGCATCTACCAAGCTTGTAACTCTATCAGAAAAAGAGATAAGATTAGTCTGGTATGATTTGTTCTTGAGACATCCATGCTGACTTTTAATAAGCACAGCTTTCCTTTCTAAGTTATTGCAGACTGCTTCCTTAATGATCTACTCCAGGTTCCTTGCTGGTATAGATGTCAGGCTGACTGAATTGTAATTGTTTGGGTCCTCTTTTTTCCCTTCTTGAAGATAGGGAGAACATTTTCCCTCCTCCAGTCTGCTAGGATTTCTCCTGTTCACCAAGAATTCTCAAAGATTATTGCCAGTGGTTCTGAAACTATTTCTAATAGTTCCTTCAATACACTTGGATGTAGTTCATTTGGCCCTGGAGACTTGAATTTATTTAGAGTAGCCAGGTATTCCTGGACTACTTCTTTACCATCTGCATTTAAAAAATAATAAGAAAATAGGAAGGAACCCAATTAGTTCAACAGTTCAACAAGACACAAATATATATATTCCTTCTGAATATAAAGGTTCTGTTTAGTTGCTGCAGGACATGGTCTGAAAGAACCAATTTGATTCAGTAACTTTGCTGAAGTTAATCTGGTGTCATTCACTCTAGATGGAAGATGAATGAAATAAAGTGGATGGCTCCAGTGTCAATATGTTAATCTTCTCTGGCTTTTAGTTGGAACTTTAGAGGACCATTAGCTTCTAGGGCTTAGCCCAAAAGTTCGATGCTTTGGATCACTACTTTGAAGTTTGAAGTAAAACCAGAAGTTTATTCACTGACCATCATTTTGAGCCACTGGGACTCTAAAAGCCTGCCACGTGGAAAGTTAATGGTTGTGTGAGATGTACTTCCAAGCACCACACCATTATTTGGAGGATAAAAAAGAACAGTTGGCTACAACACTTAGCTGGGAGCAACTCTAAGAATATGCTGAAATAAGTCCATCTTCTTAAAAAAAGAAAAAGAAATGGCAATTATGCACAGCTTGAGTCAATCCTGTGGGGATAAAAACCATTGTGCAGTGGTCCACCAATTGTTAATAAAAGAATCATGAATTGTAAGCAGTAATGTTTCAAACATATTCACTAGTGTTTTGGAGGTGTAAGGAAGATCAAACTGTTCCAATCTGACTTTGACTACAGATGCTGTTATTTCTACTTTTGTTATCATTATCACTGCCATTGTTATTAGGAGCAGAGGAAGAAAGAGAAAATATTTCTCACAAGAAACATTAGCAAGTAAGGGTGTGTTTGAGCTAGAACAAAGAAATGCAAAGTTAGGGCAGCCCATACAACTCCTATAGCACACATCATCAGTTGGGACTGTTTATCATCCAATTAGAAACATGGATAGATGGCCCAATTTTGGTGATGACAGCCATCAAAATAAATACCCAGGAAAGCATCCAGGAGCCACCTCTTTCTATCCATGTTGAAAAACAAACGCAAACTTCACACCCAGAGGTAGAGTAGACTGGTAGTCAAATTTTACTTTAATTCTGATGGTAGGACAGTCAGCTCCATAGCACTCAAGAGAAGCTGGTTAATTTATGGAATCCAACACAGGAGAGTGGCGAAGGAGGGATGATTAGAAAGACTTTCACCAATACCGCCCAGTATTTGCCATTGAGGTAGTTGTCCCAGAATGCCTAATTTCAGGGACAGTCATGTCTTACTCACTGATTAACATTCTACCCTTTCACTTTTCATAACAGATAATAAAGGGTGCATCTGTAACTAACATAAACTCATCTCCCAACTCATTAAGATATATGTGTAGATATTATGTGTTAGGTGGCCATAACAGTATATTGTATTTTCTGGCATATAAGACTACTTGTTAACCCAGGAAAATCTTCTCACAAGTCAGTGGTTGTCTTATACGCCAGATGTTGTCTCATAGGGCGGATGCTGAAACTGCGATTGCCGCATATGATGGGGGGAGCTCAAAAATGGCCACAGCCAAATTCCTGCCATATGCAGTGACCATATGAAAGCAGCAATGGTGGTGCTGTACAAGCATGATAGAAAAAAAATCACTCAGCAGGATTCATGGAAAGAAGTGAATTAACGCAGTCCCAATGACAAGGTGAGGGGTCACCTTACCGGGAAGGTGTAAGTGAAATGTGGAGCAAGTTGCAGGCATCCGTGATACCTTGGATATGGAACAAATAGAGCAGCGCTGTGCCCAGAAAAACACGCCTCTTTCACTCATCTGGCCCACCCTTGTGTCCTAGTACTGTACCTCCTTCTCTGCCTCTCAGGTCTCACTCCTGAAGATTGCAGTGAAACAGCGCAGGCGCGCATGTGCAAAATCTGAGAGGCAGAGAAGGAAGTACAGTAATAGAAAAATTACCATATTGAAATCAAATCTGATGTTTTTTAAAAAAATTATTTGGTGTGCGTTGGAAGAGGGTTAGTCTTATACTCTATATTTTAACTGGAGAAGTTGGAGGTTGTCTTATACGCCCAGCCATCTTATACACTGGAAAATATGGTACATTTACTATACATATATGGGCATATACAGGTTGAGCATGCCCTATCCAGAATTCCCAGATCTGAAAATTCCTGGAGATGACATATTTATTGCATGTAAGTAACTATGGGTCATGTGGGTATGGTGGCTCATACTGTAGGGTAAATATCCAGGAAAAATAATTTGCCTTTTAAATAGGGGGGAGGAAGGAGTTTGCACTAAAAAACAAAAAGTAGATTTCTAGCAATTTCTGGGGTTCTTTACAATCATTCCCCCCCCCCCCCCCCAATTATGAAGGAGTAATTTAGGCCATCTGTACAATACTGAGGGAGAAAGGTTCCAGGAGCAGCAAATTAAGCCCTAGACCAGAGGTACAGTGACTCTAATGTTGCCAGATGAGGCATTCAGTATTGGCATTTTTCATTTTATGGGCATTGCATGCACAACATCACCACGCATTTCGAATCCTCCAGTTTTCTCCCCATATTCCCCTTTTTTCTTATGCTGAAACTCCATTTTAGAGGGAGGGAAGAGCAGCAGCATCTCCTCCAATGTAACTACAGCATTGTTCTTCTACCTTCTTTAAGAAACATTTTCAATGTACCTATTGGGCATATGAAGGTATCTGATTTCATCACACCTTCACTAAACATCTGCCACTATATGGTTGTTTGTGGTTGTTACTGTTATTTTCTAAATTAGTCTTTTAATTAGTGCTAAAATGGGTTTCCAAAGAGCAGCACAATCCTAATACATCACTGTGTTTAACATTTTTATAGAAGCTCTCTCAGGCCATTTATATCCACACTTACGTTATATTTACTACTATATTTTTATTGTTGTTATGGAAGATGCACATGACACTGTTGTAGTTTTGTTGCACTTCTGAGAAAATCAGCATAAGAGACTGAGCTGGAAATGGCTTATTTTGCCAAGTAAACCAACTGTGTCTTGGATTCATCCACCAATTAAACTGATTCAAGCTGCTTGGACATTTCTCTTTGCTTCCTTTTATTTGCAGACATTTCCGTCAGCCTGCTCGCAGTTGTCGTCAGTTTCTGTGGGCTTGCCTTGCTGCTGGTCTCACTCTTCGTCTTCTGGAAGTTGTGTTGGCCATGCTGGAGGAGCAAGCCGATGGCTTCGAATGTAACAAGCATCCCCCAAAACACTCCCAGTGCTCCACCAGAGGTTTTGGAAACTAATGAGAAAAAAGAAGTAATTAAAGAAAATGGGAAGCCCTCGACCAAGTTCCTGGAAGCCGCCATGAAAATTAGCCACACCTCTCCTGACATTCCAGCAGAAGTCCAGAATGCACTCAAGGAACATCTCATCAGACATGCTCGGATGCAAAGGCAAATCACAGAGCCTACATCCTCCTCAAGGTGAGACCAATCTGGCCTTTTTAAGAGCAAAAGCCTAAAGGGCAGAGCATGTAGTTAAGTGGTAAAAATGTATGGATGCTAATGATCAGATCCATAGCCTGGTGCAAGAGAATATAACATATGTGTTGTCAAAGGCTTTCATTGCTGGAATCACTGGGTTGCTGTGAGTTTTCTGGGTTTATGGCCATGTTCCAGAAGCATTCTTTCCTGACATTTCACCCACATCTATGGCAGGCATCCTCTCAACCTTTCAAGCTCTGAGGCTGCCTGCCATAGATGTGGGCAGAACATCAAGAGAGAATGCTTCTGGGACATAGCCATACATCCCAGAAGTCTCACAGCAACCAAGTGAATATAAAATATATAAACTGAAGAACAACCATGTTTTGATTTTTGTTGTTTTTTACTACAACTCCAAGAACTCCAAAAGCCAGCATAGCCACACTGGTTTGGAGGATTCTGGGAACTACAGTCCAGTACAATTCTGGATAGAAATATGCATCAGATTATCCAACAATTTCATGAAATGGTTTGCCTGTTAGTTTCATATGCTGCATGTGCTTTTGAATATGATACATTCATGTAGGGTAGCACCTTAAAGTGCATACATTTCAAGCATAACTCTGTACAGCAATGATTCTCTGATGAAGTTTTTTTTACAAGGGGGGAAAATAAGATATAAACTGAGCTTTAGTGCATACAATTCAAAGTTGTAGAAGGCAAATCTTAGCATTGCATACAAGAATTAATTTCAAAAGTTTTCTTCTCATTGGACCAAGGGGTTTTCTGCATTTTTTGATGATTTTGCACATTTTGAGACTTTTTTGTGGCAAACTTGTTTCCACAATTAAACCTGATTTATGGTATGAAATGCATAGTTTGTGGAAAGTTTGACAGCCTCTAAAAGTTGCAAAGTGTGGGAAAACTGTCATTGTATCACCATTTCATGAATATAGCATCTTGATGTGTTCAGGACTCACTTTCTGTTGAAGATAAGAAAAAGTTTTCACATGTGTTCGGTCATAAAGCTTGTTCGTGTAGGTATTAAGAACAGATGATAATGTTGATAACAGTAAGGTTTAGCATGAAGAAACTTCTGAATACTTGCCTCGAAACAGTTTGATTTTGTAGCTACTGTAATTACATAGCTACCAAAGAGGGCATGAACAACATGCATGTACCCACAAAGAAGATGGTTTGTGGTGTTCTCCTGCTGATTGCAGATGTGCAAAATCCCATAGAACATTCTGATCTGGAAGACAGCTTTGGAGATAATGATGCTCGGTTCCTAGTACATTCAAGCGTTAAGAGCTGGATAAATTCATGGTCAAATTCAGGTAACAAATAACAAACCTCTGGGACATCACCTAGCAACTATTAAAATACACTGCAGGGTTCTTTCATGCAGAGGCGCCTTTAATCTTGAAATGATGCTCTTGAAAACTCTCACCATTCAGGCATGTGTTGAGTGCAGGGCCTACATTTAATGTTATGCTAGCATACATCTGATAGCCCAGCAGACATTCTTCCCCTCCCCATTGCACCATTCTGTGCCAGCTGAAAACCAGTTTTGGAGATTTTTCCAGCTTTCTGCAGCAGAGCTGTTGAGGCTATCTGATGTGGGAGACCACCAATCTGTTTTTATTAATGTGCCAAGGACTGGTATCATATTTGTCTCCATTAGATACAATTGTTTATTTCTTTTGTGGAAACTTACCAGCACTTTGAATAGAACTGCTCTTATATATAGTTTGGAGAGTGTGCATAGAGCTGCAAAGAAAAACAACCTTCTGGTTCTACTGCAAGAAACAAGGCCGTCAGTGGCACTACTCCACTGAATCCTAAGCCATTTTTAAAAATGTGATATAGCGTAAGGCATATTAGCCATGACATGAAATAGGTAAGGGAAAACATACCATATAAAGTCACATATAACTCGACATTATGTATACATTGAGGGCAGGTTTTGGATTTGTTGTGATCTATAGATAGCTTAAGGGTTATTCTGCAGAGAAGGGGAAGCACCAATGTTGGTTCGGGGGAGGGGGGGGAGTATTTCCCTAACCACACATTCAAAAAGGCCAGAAGTTGTGCCATGATGGAGACAGTAAAGGGAATCAGTGCTTCTTTTAGGTTCTTTCAGCATAGAGTCAGCTCTCATGATATGATACCCATGTATACATATGTGAGGGGAAGTCATAGGGAGGAGGGAGCAGGCTTGTTTTCTGTTGTCCTGGAGACTAGGACACGGAACAATTGCTTCAAACTACATGAAAGAAGATTCCACCTGATCATGAGGAAGAACTTCCTACCTGTGAAACCTGTTCAGCAGTGGAACTCTCTGCCCCGAGTGTGGTGGAGGTGTCTTCATTGGAGGCTTTTAAACAGAGTCTGGATGGCCATCTGTCGGGGTGCTTTGGATGCGATTTTCCTATGTCTTGGCAGGAGGTTGGACTGGATGGCCCACGAGGTCTCTTCCAACTCAATGATTCTATGATACTCACCTTTTGCCACTGTACTCAGGGGAAGTTTCCCTTTTTTTTTGTAAGAGTAAAGGTATGGTACACAGTACACTGACCCACATATAAGTCAACCCAAGTTTTTTAGGTTGAGGTTTTTTGGCTATTTTTTTTAGAAACACACAAGAGTATTAAAGTAATAGTGTAGCAACAGGCACCTTAATGCCATCAGCTGTCAAACCATTTCTGAAAAATGGCAACTTTTAGCAAAGAGTCAACTATTCCATCCCTCCCTGAGATTATGAATTGCATCAAGACACAGCAGCGAACAATACCTTGGCACTTAATGCAACCTGTAGCATCAATCAAGGAATGATTTTATGAATAGTGTGACAGAAGCATCTAATTTTAATGTGCTAGGAACAGTGAGGAGTGAAATTCACATGTCCTCCTCTGCACCTGAATGAATTCAAGTAGTGCCATTTCAGGAACAGAGAAAATGACAACTAGGAAGTAACAAGTGTCATGAATTACAGAGCAAAAACAAAACCGTAGATGTTGAGGGCAGAACCTTACATTCCTTCTTGGTAAATCATTTGCATGATTGCACTTGTACCATAAACTTCCTCTGTAATGGTTGAACCAAAGAATATTAGTAGAAATGTATCTAAGTAAGCACTATAAAATGGAATTGGGCAACACATGCCCCATGGCTTCAAACAGCCCTTTCACATCTGTCTTTTGGCCCTTTTGCTACCTGCAGTCCCACCATTGCAACCCATTGTAGTAAAATTATGATGGTTTTCTCTTTGTTCTTCCCTTTTTGCTACTTCAGAAAAGGAAATGAAATTCCTGCCTTGCTGTTTCACTGAGTTCTCCAGTGAAGGGGATAGCCCTGTGCACCATAAACAACTGACATAATTACAATCAAATTTCATTTGCAGCTGTGGAGGCAAATTTGATGAGTGCTACTAAGGTTCAGCAGACAGCTAATTAGACTTAATACAAAATTTAAGGGGGTGAAAATGGCAGAAGACTCCAGAAAGTTAATCACTGATCTAGGTTGGTCTTGCTTAGAATGGACCCTGAAAGCAGTGGAATTTAAGAACCTTTCCATACAGGCCCTATATCCCAGGATCTGATCCCATGTCTTCTGTTTATCCCAGATCATCTGACAGTGGGGACTCATATAAAGCAGAAAACCTGCGATCAAATCCTGGAATATAGGGTCTGTCTGGAAGGACACTAAATTAAACCATAACCTTTTCCCATTGACTTAAATAGATTTACTCTATGTACCCTGTTCTTTCATTAAGGAGGGAGGTAGAAAGACTAGATGTTCACAACAAAAGGGGTCTAGGGTGAGCAGATGGACTTTTTTGCCTGAAATTCCATATCTCCATTATAGGAAACCACTGGAGTGGAGAAAAGCGTTGGACAGACTATGGCGTAGCATAGTCAGGCTCCAATGTTGTGTTGAGTGCAGACAATGGGTCACATTTTAGGGTGAGTAACAAGGGGACAAAAGCCAAAAACAAATAACATGGTCTCACTGAAACTGCTGGTTACATACCAAAATAGGTGAACAAGGAGGGGTGTTTGCTTACCAGTGTCTCCAAAAAAAGGGACACATTGCTCTGTATGAAGAACTGAGCCCTAGATGTGGTTATATAGAGCAAACCGAACCTCTATTAGCTTCTTAAGTCACCTGTTTTGTTGGGCTCATGAGCATCACTGTCCTATTTGGCCACTATATGACACAACAAAACACTGAGCAAATTACTCCCTTTGCCCAGGAACTATTTTGGCATGCATAGTCAGGTGCCTATACCTTGGTATTGGAGGCCTTGGCTCAACTGTCTTGACACTGTATGCTAAGCAGTGGAATGCTTTTGCACCTGAGCCATCATTTTGTCTGTTAAATAGAACACTCCCCCCCCCTCCCCGTGATTGGAGTTGAACTTTGAAATGGTATTTCTTTTGATCACAACCCCTCAAAATCCCCCTTTTTAGGCAAGTAGCAGAAAAGTAATTTTCCATTCTCTGAATTGGAACATACCTGGTTTGAAAACTATACTTTGACCTTAAAAGAAAAAGAAGTGGTTTTGAGATAATCTCAACAGCCAGGCATGTAGCCAGGGGGGGGGGCTTGGGGGCTTCAGCCCCCACCCCCCGAAATTCTCATGGTGGTTCGCGAAAAGGCCTTACTGGTGCATTATTTAAACTGTTATTTTTATTCATATCATGATCTGATCACCATACTCAATATATCCCATATGCATGGGGGTATTGGGGTAATGATACAAAAGGTTTGCTAGGCTAGACCCTCTTTCACTCAGACTCAGCCCCCCCGAAACTCAGCCCCCCCCCAAAAAAAACCCCAAAAATTTTTTACCCCCCCCCCCCCCGAAACGAAATCCTGGCTACGGTCCTGTCAACAGCAGTTATGCAATATGCAACGTCCATTTCTTAATATGGAAGAGCTATAAACAAAAGATGAAAGGTATTTACAATATAATTTGTCTTCTTGAGAAAGAAAAG